TAAAAAATTAGAAGACAACTACATGCAAATATCGTGCTAAAAACTTGTTCCAAAGATTGAAAAATTTCTCATCTAAGTCAACTGGTCTCCTACAGTTATGCATGATTTCGGGTAGATGAGTACACATTTATACCCTTTATGTAATTGTATCATCTAGTATTTTCCTGATAATATATGCTATATACAATTTTTTCCTCCGATTTTCTTTTATTAATGATAAGTTTAGAGAGTTGAATGTGCAGCTTTTCATCGTATTGAATATTTGGAAAAATTCTAATTTTTTGCCGAATAATGATGTTCCGGAGAAAATTTGCAAGGAAAATATATATGGAATGAATCATATATGTCCAAAGTTCAACTTTATCTTTATGTGTTTATTTACTTAAGAGTTAGGAAATAGTTAAGATTAAGTCGCATCATTCCCTGTCAAATTTTCCTGTATGTATCACTACTCAATTTCTCAAAGATCTTTCTTTTACTGATTCTTATGAAATCATACCTTTAGTTTTCTTTGTCACCAATAAATCAAATTTACATATGCAAACTATTGTTCCCCTATATGTAAAGATGTTTATTTGTGAGGACAATAATGATTATTTTCTTCATTGAATTGTAGACAATTTATAAGTTAGATGGCTAACAAATTTTAAAAATCATGGTGAAAAGCTTGAAATTGGATGCTCGATGGATATCAAATGAGCAAACATCTTCGGAGTAGTAAAGGACCAACTCCGTAATTAGCAAAAAAGCCTATCAAATTTACTTTTGTAAAAGCCCATCATCACGTGTGTTTCTCTTAAAGAAAAGCCCACAGTAGGACCGTCCCCTATCATCTTCTTCCAATCATAGTCTTCAATTTTTGGCTGCTTCTAATTCAATTCACCTAAAAAAAAAAAAACAAATAAATATAAAAGTGATCTATTTCTCTTGTTGTTAACACTTACGAAATTCAACTTTAAAATTTCGTCTGATTAAATATTACTTTTATTTAAATTTTCCTGAAAAATTGAAATAATAAATAAAATAGAAGAAGAAAAGGAAAGGCGCTTTTCTAAAAATGGCCTGAATATTTCATAGCTTAGCAAATCTACCAATAACGAGGAACCCGGCTTTCTATTTTTTTTTGCAATTTACAATATGTGATAGGTTCAGGGGAAAGGAAGAAAAGAAAAAGAAAAAAAAAATCAACATTGGCTTGTATGTGATTATGAGCTCTACACTTTATCCGTCTCAAAATAATAATCATAATTTGTAAAATAAAAATGATTTAATAAAAGCATTTCAACATGCCATAATGTAACAATTCCCAAACTTTACTGTCTCATTTATACCTATCACTCTTGTGACAACCTAACAAAATAAATCAGTGATATTAATTAGTATAAACACTCCTTCAAATTAGGTTTGCGGAAAAGGACATTTAAACACAGCGGATCAAAAGATTAATACCGCTAGCTAATGAAAACGAAATGTGTTTGGGAATACTAGTAAAAGGTACTCACTATACTAGAACAATCCAATAAAGGTTTAAAAACACTAATAACACAAAGAAAAAATCGGATTCTATTCCCCTTTATCCAATAACCAACTAATGAAAAAACCTTTGTTTGCGCCCCTGCTTTAACCAATTGATTGAACCCTAAATAACCAATAAAGAGAAGCAAAAAAGAAACGTTTGATTTTTTGTGTTTTGTTCAAAAATTCGATTCAGTTCAAATTCCAAGGGGCTAGCTAGGGTGGGAAAAAAAAAAGAATGGTCTTTAATCTTTATTGCTGCATTAAAATAATTATTGAAGAGAAATATTCTATGGTATATATAGAGGTATCGACTTTGCGGAAAGCTAATTGACAGGTACATTTACGGGCTGTAAGGCTTTCTTCTTAGAATCAAATTTAACTGGAAAAGTATCAGAAGACATGTAGAAGATGATGATAATTTCGACACTGAATAATACTATAATCATCTCAAACAATTTATTTTGTTAAACTAAAACAGTATATTAAAATAAATTATTTTTTCGATAGAAGGAGTACTAAGAAGTGAGTTTATACGACAAAATTCTCTTTGATTTGTCCTTGAAAGCACAATTAGATTCGTCAGTATGGCCATTAAAAAGCTCCATTATGCGTCAATGATTGATGGGTTTTTTTTTCTGGTTTTTTGGTAGTTGCATTTTTAGGATACTTATCCTCCTCGTCAAAAGTTAGTTTTTTTTTTTTTTTCCTCTTCATCAAGGACTACTATTCTAATATTCATGTACTACTACTAAATTTATGTCCATGTCCATGTCTATCCAAATATTCATCAAGCTAGTGGTCTTGCATTAAAAAAATATATCAGAATCACTTCTTTTTTCTGAGTAATGGCGGAACCGGCTACTCAGATTTGGAGGGACCGACTATATATTCATAATTAAGATTGATTGTCGAATATATATGATATAAAGCTAACCGTAACTACCCTTAAGGACTTTTCGGCCGTCTGGAGGGGCTCGACACCCAAGCCCCTTAAGAGTTCCATCCCTGTTTCTGAGGATGGACAAATAATCAAATAACATCAATTTTATAATGAAAAAATTAAACTTTATAATTTCTAAGGATCAGTAAAACATTGATTCCATAGAACCTTTACTATAAGAGAAACTAAACTAAAGGTCTGCCCTCTTCAATTGGTTTCCATGTCCAAATGTAGGTCCTAGAAGCAACCATGCATAATGAAATGCTGATCAAGCCACTATATATAAATTAATATTATGCAAAAATAGACGTGTCTTAGTGACAAGAAGTTCATTTCTTTGTTATAGGAATAATTAATTTATTGAGATAACATACTCGATCATTAAAGGAGGGACAGAAAAAAAATAAAATTCTACACTTGAATCTACTAGAAGCGACAAAGAAACAAAATTCTCTGAATATTTAAATTGCCAACTCCTAAAAGTATGAAAGTGAATTGATTACTGATCAACTAGAATTTCCATAATTCATTGTACTTTGAAAATAGGGTTTTCACCTCATAAATTTCGTCCTAGTGTAAGGATTACATTTCCATTTATCCCTCTTTTAATACATACATTTTTGTAGCCTTTTCAAAAAGATAAAAGGTTTTTTTTTTTTGGGGGGCTAACTCTCGACTTTATTGTAATGACCAATAGAAGATTAACATAGTATTTCATTATTAACGCCAAAAGATCGATGCAAGTTGGTTCTATATTAAACAATTTTTTTTTTACCTCAATCTATTTTAGCTCTCTTCGATCCATTTTAGAATTACTGTTCCTTTTTTTTTTTAATGTCGTAATTAGAATATCTTTCTATTGTCATCTAGGTATAATAGACATAGATTATTATTAGGACCAATGCATAAATGATTAAAAAAAAAAGGGTTTAGAGTTTGACCTAGAGAAGGGGGAAGAGAATAAAGAGAACAAAATAGCATCTCATGAAGCATTACAAATGAGAATTAAAGTGAGGAATGAAATTCAGAATCACTCTGGTCGGCCTCATTCACCCAAAAAAATTCAAAAAAGACATATTCTCAAAAAAAGATGAAATTTAGAGTAATGTTGAAGACAAGAATTTCGAGGAATTCGACTTCACAAATACTACACGAATGGCTACTATTAATATTCATCCCTCTGACCCTTTTAATTTGGCGATGTCGTGTCCAGTGTCAACTAAAAGTTCAGTATCAAAACAGCCAAATGATAAAAAGTTAAATATATTTTCTATCTCCTACACGACAAAAAATAAACTTTTTTTTTTGCTTTAATTTCTTTATATATATGTATATGTATATATGTAGGCCTTTTTCAGTTGAATATATTCTGCTAGTTCTTTTCTTGGCCATGACTTCCTTCTTGATACTCTTTCCTTTATTTAAATTTTCTTTCACCTTTTATTTTTTCTTCCTAATTGGAGAATTCAACAATCACTTGCATCTCAAAGAAACGGTGCAGTTTCGAGCACTGTGAAATGACTAATTGAGATCTATTTACCGGTCTAAGATTCAGATTAATGTATCATGAAATCAAACAAATGACTAGCTCTTATTTTTTGCTTATTTGTTGTGGAGGCTTTCATTGAATTGTCCCTCTCTTTTATTCCATGGATATAATAATTCTTTTTTCACAGTTAAAAACGAATAATTTTATTTCAGTGACTACCAAGTACCAACGCATTAGTTCATTAGGAGGCATGAGATTTGAGGCATAGTGGAGGCGTTGTTATTAGTCAATTGTATATACTTTTGATTGGCTGAAATCTGATTTTGTTTTTCTCCTTTACTAAACAAGATTATTGCTTAAATATGTTGCGGCATTTGAACTATAGATATTACAAGATCAGGAAAATTTGAGAATTTTTGGAGAGATCATTTAAGATGTCAAGAGTTTAATTGTGTGTGGAAATTGGGTTGAAATATGGATTCGTTGATTTTTTTTCTATCCACGAAATTATGATAATTTAGTATTTTATTCCTTCCGTCTTAGAAAAATAATTTATATTAAATTTTAAGATTTGTAAAATAATACGAATCTTGAAACTCACCGTAAATTATATTTGTTTAGACGGAAGGAGTAGTATTTTAGAATTTAGCCTTCTTCATTCTATACTAATTACCTTTTTATGTTATTTTATGTTTTTTGAATTAAAAAAATACTTCCTCCGTCCCACAAAAATAGTCTACAATAAGTTTTGAGTTTTATACTGTTTTTAGTACAAATTTGAGAACTCAACGTAGACTATTTTTTTTTTTTCACGACAGAGGTTGTAATAATATAGCAAGCCAGATGAATTGTTAACCATATTTTAGTGAACGCCTCGTTGGGCTATGAGAAGATACCTCCTAAAAAAATTGGGCTAGGCCCTGAAACTTATCTTCTTTTGTTCACTAGCTGGGCCTGGGATGACAAACTTCTTCAGACGAAAATGCAGCATGCAGAGAAGCAGGAAATGAGCAGTTCATTCCATTGCCCTCAACATACAAAATAGGAACTGTCCTTAAATTCATCCTAAGAAAGAAAACAGAGACACATACTCCGATGAAAAATAGCAAGTTGAATGGAACTAGGTCTGCAAAATAATAAAACTCATTTTCCCGGTAATACATTGTGACGTAAATTGAAAAGCTCAAAAATGTCAGACAGATACATTCAGAAAGGGAAACCATAACGTATGCATTTCTTTGAGGATCCTGCTATACGTTTGATACATTTTGCACTTTTATAGAACATGATCAATTCCTCAGCCACAGCTTCCGGGTGACAGTTGATGAATGCCTTGATAAATCGCTTTTCCGTCATCCTTAAAGCTGTCAGGATTACAGGTCCATTAACTCGAGGGGCCAGATCCATATCATCTATCTTTTGTCCAAGGAAAAACCGTGGTCTTAGCCATGTCTCCAGATTTTTGCACAACAAGAATGGCTCATCCAGTACAGTTTTTGCAGGAAGCTTCATAGTTGCACATATGAAAGTCATGTTCCTCTGAACTTTATCAGTGGAAAATGTTAATATGAAAGGATTCCGTCCAAAAAGCTTCAAAACCTCATCCTTCGAGAAACCGAATTTCTCCAAGTTTGCTATCTTTTCACAGATCGTCTCAGTCCGTGAAACAGAGAAGATAGTCACAACATACTTGTACATTTTAGAATCCTTTGAGACACCAGTTCTGCGTATATAATCCATCTTTTCATCATCCAGGACACACCGGGGAATCAAGGTGGGGCGAGAAAGGAGCATAGGGATTAAATCATCTCTGCTAACACCAACGCTCTCATAAGTAGCTACCACAAGTTTCATTCTACCATGTAGGTCATAGTTGAGAAGTGATGGATTGCGCAATATAGCCTTGAGAAGGATTTCTCTGGAACCAAAGAGGTTCAGAAGATACTCAATACGCTCCTCCAAATCTGTACTTAACCGACAACTGAGAAACCGCGGACGACATTGCATAATCTTCACAAGGTCAGATGAGCAGATACCCAAGTTTCTGAGAATCTGAAGCTTGGACTGAAGGCACTTCACAGTCATATTGCGCAAGGATGGATTCCGGAGAAAAATAATGGAAACATCATGTTCAGTACAACCCCACCTCATGAGAGCATTAGACACTTCTTCGGAACTCTTTCTATTTCTTACGGTTGCTATATTTTCAACATGATCAGATACTTCTACTGGAGGATCCGTTCCATCTCTAATGATTGCTAATTTTTTGGCAAAATCTTCTCTCACTGCCAAAACAGGTTTAACATAGAACCTAGGGCAGCAAATGATTGGTTTGAAAGGGGACGCATTGGAGAAGAATGTATGGAGATTCTGGGCAGTGGGAAGTATGGAGTATAATCGGATTAAAGCGTTCAACTTGGATCTCATAAGGTCTCGAGTGAACACAAATAATCATACCTAACAATACTAGCAGCAGGGGAAAAATAAAGGCTTCTCACGAGCATTGACAGAACAAAAAGAATTAATTGCTTGTTAACTTTATACATGAAAAACCACCAATCCTAAGAAGCTACCGAAGATTAAAGTTGGGAATCCTACTTAATTTCCATCACATAGAGAATATAAGCCAATATCACAGTGGGTCTCTTTGCATCATTATGCAGAACAACTTGAGTGCATAAACCAATTGCACCAAGAGCAGCAGTATGTAAGTGTCTAACTGTCTATCTTTTCTCAGTTCACTATTTCCAGCAGGGTAGAGACTAATTGGGAGTACACAATCAAGTGCAGAAGGAGACAGTAACAACTAGATAAAGTTGGATAAGTTTTGTATTTCTTTCAGGGAGACTTAAAACCAGTGGTTATTAAGTGCAAGACAAAACTTACGTTATGAATCTCCACCAAAGCTGAGGATAACAACAGAATCCAGAATTTGAAACTGAACAAAACCCTGATTGCTGCAACGATAACAAGGCCAAAAGAAGCAAATAGAAGGAAAATCACCAACAAACCGTGGAATTCCTTAAAAACAATCCCAACCCTATTGAAAATAGCTAAATTTGAATATCAAATCAATGCGGAGAGGACGAAAAGAAAAGACTTACACCGAACCGAAGTGAGCAACTTAGCTGAGATTTTCGTACTGTTTGTATGGTGGTATCTACGCTATGTTTCCGGCTCTATTTTTGCATATCCCGGAGTTAGGCCAGTTGGACACGACGGATGACTTTTGTTGCCGCCGAAAGAGGGCCGGACTGAATGATGGCCGCTTAGGAAAAAAATTTTTGGGCCGAAGCCCGGAAGTTTCAAATTGATTATAATTCTATTTTTTATTTTTTTTTTTCATACTCTTACAATCTCCAAAATGATTGTTCTACTTCTAGTTAAAACGAATAATAAGTAGTAAAATAAACATAATAATTATTTTGGATATATTTTCTCCAAAATTAATGTCTAGTTTGAATTTTTATTTTTAATATTTTTTTAAATTCAAATTGTACTAAAAATGAAAATTTAAATCGGATAATAATAATTTTGGGACAGAGTAAGTTAAACATGTTTTGTAAAAACTTCTTTGTTTTTTTAAAGGAATTTTTATAACTCGACCATAGATTTCTATCTAATTTCCTAGAACAAACACTTGGCATATTCAAATCTACTAGTTTCATTGAATTTTCCCGGTCCTTAATATAAGACATTTTGATTTGTCTTAAGTTTCACCGAGTACGTAATTTTTAATTGATGAAAAAAATTTTAAAAATATATTTTCACATTTTTTTTCAAAAGCGATATTCATTAATATAAAAAAAACAGAGCAAATTATAAGCTTTTACAACGAGATAATACAGTCCGCCATACTCGTTATACCCACCACAGAAACAGAGATAAACTCAATACTATGAACAGAGCTACGCTATAATTTGGCTAGACCGTGATGACATCACTGATTACAGTTTAGAAATATAGCACCTAAGTAACGTATCAAAGCAAACCAAAACACTAACAGATGGAGGTCAACTATAATCTAACAAGACTTAAAACTGCAGAACTGACTCTAAGTCACAGATCTATAATACCTATTAATCTCAGATCTAAAGCATTCCTTCACTTGTTTCCCTTTCAATTACATGTTCAGTCTTGTCTTCCTCACTGAGCCATTAATCTTCTTCACCTTTATCAGATATGTTGAAGAACACAGAAAAAACACACAAAATAAAGAAAAAAAACTCCCAAAGGGGAACCGAATATCTCAAAATAAAAGATCCGGACTTCCATAAAGGAAGAGCTAAACCCACCAATAATGGGGGAGCGAAACTTCCATAAAGGAAGAGCTAACCAAAAGATTAAAAACAAGAGAAAAATAAGTGAGCTTCAATGGAAGATGGGAGAGAAAAGGATAAATTTTTGAAAGCTTTTTGGGTAGAGAGAGAGGGAGAAAAAGTAGAGAGATGGTAGATGTTGGGATTTGGATTATTTTCGCATTTGTTATGTTCTCTTTATTCTTATGAAATATTTTTAAGGTTTTTTTAATTAAAAATACGTATTTGGTAAAACACATGACAAATCAAAATACCTTATATTAAGGAATAGAGGGAGTACATAATAGTTAGATGAGTTCTTAAAAGTCAGAATGAATCCTATCGAATTTCAGTGCAAAACCATGAATCCCTCTACCTCATTTCAAAATGTTGTTGAGCACAGCTGAATGTGCTAAAGAGTAATTCAGTTTTTTCACCATTATCGCGCGACATAACCTAAAAAAGAAAAAATGAAAAAAGTATTAAGTGAGTTTTTGAATCGTTTTTTAGTGTATTTGTTTAGATCGGGAATGTAAAAAGATATTTTGGAAATGCAAAAAGGAATATTGGAAATGTAAAAAGATATGATGGGATGAGACAAATATTAATTAAAAATTCTGAAAAGACTAACCAAAAAACGAACCAAACAGAGAATTTATGTCCAAAAGCAACTATAATTGAATTGGAAAATACGATTTCAACTTTCAAGGGCATCCAGCTTATGGAAAAACAATGCATGCTTCTTTCAATCTTCCAAAAGAACCAAACATGGAAACGAGGGAATTAGCTGCTGAGCCATTAGTGTTACCCTTAATCACACAAGAAGAACAAATTATAGTAATAAATGCATTCTGATTGGCACAGATCCCTTCATCTCTCATTCTCCGGGACGCATCAAATAACCTCTCATTATCTCCATTAGCTAAACATCCCAGCCATCAATGAAGTTTAAAATATCATTTGTTTGGCCAACATCTCATTTTGCATTTTGTCTCATTTTATCTTTAAAACACCTTTCAAACACAAAACCTAATACTATCCAAACAACTTTTTAATTTACCTTTTAAAATTTATTTCAAACATAATTGTTACACAATTTTTATCCACAACCACCAGACCACCTCCGCCGTCAGGCTGTCGGCCTGCCCACCGTCACGCCGCCGCCGACTGGAATTCCGGCTAGTTGGCCGAAATTTGGCCGAAACCGGTGGTGGTCCGGTGGCGGCGGCGGCAGTAGAGGTGGCCCGGCGGTAGTGTAAAAATATTATTATTTAAAAAGTAAAGTAAACGTCTCTTAATTTTAGAATTTAAGCTCTAATTGAGCAATCCTGTTAGTTGAGTGGCTTTAATCCAACGGTCTGATTTTGTTTGATGGCCACGGTACTAAACAGGGTTAAATTTGTCATTGTAAAATTTATTTTTTTCCCTTTTCTCTTTTGGCAAAAAAGTTAACGTAGAAAACGATGTTGTTCAGAGATGATGTTCAAAAAATCCCCAAATACCCCTTTCCCTTAATTTTTTAGATACATGCATCGCTTGTCATATTCTTCCTCCTCCACCTTGGTCTTCTTCTTCCTCTGTTCCTTTTGGAAGAAATTAGAACTTAAAAAATTTCTATAAGTTGACACAAGCTACAATATATTCTGCTTTGATAATCTGAGTTTTTTTTAAAAAAAAAGTAAAAAAAGGAAAGAAAACAAATAGTTATTAGCTAGAGTCATATTCATTATTCATGATGTTAAGTGCAAAGAAATCACACATTTTTTGAGATGCAGTATTTGGTAAATGACACAGAACTGACAACTTATCGATTATCCCTAATCCAGAGTATACCTAGCATCGCAACACATACCATTCATGATGATGATGATGATGAACAGTTAACCATAGAGATACAAAAACAGGACAATTGCTCAATCAAAATAAACAAGCTCCTTTTTACAACTTGATACAAATAGAAGCTGGATTTACCTAGATTTGATCTTTTACAGGCTTAGTATAATTTTTTTTTTGAGAAGAAAATTTCACTCATATGTTGGAAATCGTTCAACTGCATTTGACAACACAAAGAAACAGTCTAAAACACAGCTTACAACAAATTACTATCATCATATTGTTGTGTTTACCATGAATAAACCTATACAGATCTATCCAAAATAAGACTGGACATATCGAGATTCAGATCCGGTTAAGGATATATCACTAATTATCATATGAAAACTCCAAATTACATATCTAATAAATAGATTTGTAACGACTGATTCTTGGTGAAGAGTGAACAATGAGCTCGCGAGCATCACCAACGATATCACGAACACTACAGACGGCATACCCTACCCTCAACCAGTAGATTCAAGCTATTAGAGGAACACTATAATCAAAAGTACCCTACCCTCTTAATAGATCACTTGATTAATCTATTGAATGAACTTTTGGAGTTAATCTCTTTATTAAAATAGAAAGAGAAATAAGAATACGATAAAACTAAAGAAAAAAATTATTTCTCCTATCCTTTCATGGTGGAAAGATATGGGAGAATTAGAGATTTATTTTTAGGATTTTGTGAGAGGAGAAAAGGGGGCGGCTAAATATGGATTCTCAAGACAAATTAGATGATGATGATTACTGGCTTAGTATAATAATCAGCAAGAAGATTAATATCTAAGTATTTTAACTAGTGAGATTTCTAAACAGGAACTGAATTGGGTAAATCTCCTTTACTAATAATTTTACTTTTACTAATAATTTTATATTTATCAGTATTCTGAATCAAATTGGATTCTCTGACTATTTTTCATAAATTGGAGTTTTTTTATCAATCTAATCTAAATAAAGAAGATAACAATTTAGAAATTCAATATGAGTAGACAATTGCTATCTTATCTGGTAATTTTTTGGTTAGACGTATGAGTAGGAAACTCGATATCACTAATCTTATCTCTTCATTTATGATTGAAAATTTAGCACAAATAGAAGTAGGAAATCTTTAATTTTGTGCAATTTGTCTTGGATTTGAATACGAATGTGAATCGCCTAACGATCTACATAAATATGCCATTAGATCGTCACATATTTTTTCACCAACCGATACTCAACACTCCCCTGCAAGCCCAACCCATCTTCTTGGGTTGGACTTGTATATATTTTTTCAGCCCAGTCACTGGCTCACGTCTTAGCCCTACCAGTTCTATCACATTAAGCTTGGAGTCTGACTCTTAGCGGGCTGGCTCTAATACCATTTGTTACGTGTTCATCCGACTGTTCTTATCCCCAGGGTCTCCCAGTTTCCGCTACATGATCAGCCTACACCCGCGTAGCCTACTGGTTAGATGTTCAGATTTTTAAATTTTGGTCATTTATGTCTTTATGAGTGCTTATTTTATATTTTAAGGTTTGGACTTTGGATTATCAACATCATCTGACATGTTTATTGTGCCTTTGTTTATGAGATTTGCAAAGAAGTGTATTTCTACACTGCAAAAAGTAGTTGGTGTCGGAAATTAGTGGAAGCATCACCAAGGGGTTGAAACTCGAGAGACCGAAATCATCACCAGTCGTTCATAGCATCAAACTAATTATCTCATGACGTGATTGTCTTTGAAATATGTTGTTTGCCATCCTAATAATTTTCATATTCTTCATCTTGTTACTTAAAATTGATTTCTAAAACACATTTTTTATTTCACCCCTTCTAATATTCTTAGTCTATATTCTTTATAATGTATGTTTTTTCATTCAACATCATTTCATCTATGTTTTGTCATTCAATATCATTTCATCAACTTAATAATAAAATAAGTCGCGCGATGACAAAACTAGGAGTTTTTGAGTTAAAAAATGGTTTAAAAAAAGAAGTAGAGAGAAATATAAGTCGAATTTTGGAGAAGAGAAAAATACCGAGATCGGATTTTCAAAATCCGACCTTGCCTTAAAATCGGATTTCACAAATCCGACTTTATGTTAATAACAAAAATTAATTAACTTAATCA